CCAACATCGTTTAGTGAAATCAGAGTGTATACGAAAATGTATTCTGAATAAACCCATGTTAACATTTTTTCTTTAAAGAATGGGGTGCATCCATAAATGAATTTTTGAATAAACCCATTTAGCATTTTTTTATTAAAAAAATGGGGTGTCTTTAAATGCATTTTTGGATTCACCTGTAACTATTCACACAGAACCTCTTATATAAAAAAGCCTGTTATGAATCACAAAAATATGGAAAATTTTAGAAATTTAAAATATACATTAAAATGTGTGAAAATGTATCCACTTTACATCGTTAATATTGATCCAACATTTAATACAAAACATGTGTCACCACCTAAATACATTGTTAGATAAAAACTAAAATGAATCAAAACATGTGTCACCACCTAAATATATATCTATGTGCGGTTCCTACTTTGACTTTTACTTATTTGACTCTCTTTCAATCTCGCTCAACTTCGTGAATTCTTGATCCTATCCAAAAATTAATATGGCCAAATTTCAACTTCCTTTGTGGAATAAGTTGTCCACTCTGGTGATGTCTATGGTATAGGTATCCCAATTTCAAATAAACTTGAACGGAATGTAGCGATTTAGAAAGCCACCTAAATATAAATAATTCGCCCAATTGGATTTTTAAGTGGGCTTATTTGAAGTGAGAAAATGTTTTCAAGAAGTCGTATCTTGTTAGATCAATACACACCTTATTTTATACACTTGCTATAAGATGATCCATTTCAGGGAAGCACGTCCATTTTTTCTTCAGTGTCAAACCACTAACACAAGGAATAAGAGATTCACAAATTGCATCAAAATGTTCTTTTTTCCCGTATAATGTTGTGTATGGTTCTTTATGCACCTTCAACTCTTTGAAAAGTTGTTGGCAGAAAAGTGTATGATTTTCATCTCCTTTACTGAGTAAAGGTGAAACAGCGTGATAGCCACAATTAATGTCACCCTCAACATCTATAATATGTCCAATGTATCTGTGCATAAAAACAAGCATCTTTAATGTGTATCATTTTTGGTAAAAGTGGTGAAAGAGGTGGTTTGCAAATTCAATCTCCTTAGAAAGGATACTGCATCATTGAATTGTCACTTGGTGTTGGTTTGACTTTCTTAAGAGAACCCTTTTTTTTTATCGGTTGAGATAGTGGTTTCAAATATGTGGTTTTTAGATAGGAAATCTTCCCCATTTTCTCTTTGATGTGGAGTTTCATGTTGTTATCGGATTTAAAAAATCTTTCTTGAATCACTTTTCATTCGGTTAACATAGGTATATTCGATTTACTTACCTTCACCACACCATCATCATTAAGCCGGAGTCTATTCTAGTGGGTGTAAACCTTATCTATTTGTATTGGACTATCATGTTTCACCTTCTTTGAAATTAAACAAGCACATGGAAGATTGTACGTCTTCCTATGCATGCAATCACACTTTGAGCTATCTGAACCTACTTTCTCAGCTCGCTTGGCTTCATGATCAATAAAATCCAATCTCACTCGAGATATATTGCCCACCAATTATGAATAGAGATTGTTGTTTTTGAATATGTGTCCTAACACTAAAATATTGTTACCAAATGATGTTTGTATCATATTATGCTGATTTTGGATCATTTGGTTCATAGAGTCTCAATCTCTACATATTTCAATAGTTCGGATATTTCTCACGCACCCTCCTAAAATGTATTACATAATTTATAATACCTTCTTAAAATGTATTACACTAGCTGTGACCATTTTCCCATATTCACCATTTATTTTTTGGTCCTTACCGCATGCTTAAGTCTACTTCTCACATTCTTTGTGATGTGATACCTACAAAGTAATGCATATGGTGTAAGAAACACATTTGCAACCAAATTCATCAATGCAGTATCTCTATCAGTGACAATGATCTTTGGCGTATTTTCTTGGTACTTCAACATTGTCTGACACACTTCTAAAGTCCAAGTAACATTATCCTCTTTTTCATTATCCAAAGTTTCAAACCCAACCAAATTTTTTTGTAGAATTAACACCAACAATTTTCAAGAGTGGAAGCTTGTTTTGAACAATTTTATGGAGTCAAGATGACTCTAAAATATATCTCGAACGATTTCTCCATCCCTGCACACTCTATACCTAAATACATAATGGTTATCATCTAAAAGCTTCAACAAGTATTGCACTTTAGTTCTATCCCCTCTTATCACCTTGTTATTTTTGGCACGAACATTGTATACTTACTTAATATTTGAGATTATTTTTAGGCTTTTTCCGTTTCAAAATTTCAAGTATGATTTTGAGCTCTACCATGTTCAATGTCATGCTAGAAACGATTTCCTTCTCTTCAGACATAAGGCGACATGCAATGGCATGACTGACTAGCTTGTGGCACATGTCATGATTATGTATACCATAAATACATTAAATCTCTATGTATTATTTTTCATAAGGTATCCTCACAACTTAAAAGGAACTCACATTTTCACGAATCCGTGTCATCCCATTTCAAATTCCGAATATGATATATGTATTTGACACTTCTTTTGCATCTTAATGTCACAAATGCATGTATTCTATCCGAACCATTATCTGACCTTCTGATTACAACATCGAACCCCAATTTAGCAGCTTCTGTGTGGATCTATTTGAGCATATGGTCACAAACAACAAATGTTCATTTGTAAATTATTTGCCAACATCTACCTTGTCATCAACTGGTTCGGCATCCATAGACATAATAGGTTTAGAGACAACATTATGGTGCATCATATCTAATTCCAATCATAACACAAAATATTCAAAAATTGAACAAATTGAACTCTAAACTAATCTGAAAATACAGTTCTAGATGACATTCAACAAAAATTAGCAAATGTGTTTTAGGACGCAACATTCGTTTTTCATACAGAAAACCAGATTAATGTAAGTAGCGAGGAAGAAAATACATGTAAGTTACGTTAAATTCCAACTTCTTTTTCTCCTTTTGATGTGAAAAAATAGAGAAATATTATTTTGAAGTAGAAAAGTTGATTGAGTGTGGAAGGACGCTTTTGTAAGGTTTGAAAAATAAATGGTAAAATGATCATTAGTGAAGTAAACATACAAGGTGGTGTTTTATAAAATTTCCCGCTTAAGGTTTCTGGAAATGCACTTCCGAAGTATTCACTGAGTTGAAAATACATGCAATGTGGTATTTTTTTCTCTTCAAATTCTTGCTTGACAAATTTGGAATTGTACTTTCGTATTTGTCACTGAGTTGTTGAATTAACAAAATTATTGAAGAGTTTTTTGAAGATACACTTCAAGACTCATTTTTGGAAAAATAAGAGTGTGTCTCACTTAAAACATGTTTTGATTTAAAATATGTGCGTTCGAAGATGTACTTCCAACATTAGGAGGATATTTTTAGATTTTCATACGGTGCTTCTCCACCACTAAGTGTGGTAGAAGTAATCCCCCAATAGAAACTCTTTAAAAGTTCTATATTTAATCATTTGAGAGTTAAAAAAATTTCAATATATCCTCTTACGCTCAATACCCTTTTAATTTTGATGTGTGAATATAAACGGTGGGCGGCTCTTGGTCTGATCGATAGATTCTAATAACATATTAGAGTTTAAACTAACTCAATTTTATAAAATCGATTTTTAAGGTAAGAGAGACAACTCAATGTAAACTTTAAAGATTTAATATTTAACCACCAATGAAATTTGAAATTTTTTCAGGAAAAAAATTATTTGAAGAAGTGAATAGTTTTGACATCATCATTTCAATCTTGAAACACATGAACAAAGAAATAAATAAATAATTATTTAATTCACAAGGAGATCACACTAAAAAAATCGAGACTCGGAGATGGTAAAATTGTCTAATTTATATGAAAAGTAGTTTGCTTTAGAAATTTGCTGAAAAAGATTAAGACTATTTTAAGTTGGGTCAACTTTTAGAATAAGACGTGATAGACAAGCAATTCCTATAATCTTCTATAAATAGAGAAATTGATTTCAAAAATAGAAAAATTCATTTTTCTTTAATAAACTTGTCCAAAAAAATATTCATATCCACACCATAAGAAATAGTTTGTATAACTATCTAACTCCATTCTTTTAGTAATATAATATCATTCAGAATAATATTCGCTTAATAATAAAAAATAAAATAAAAACTAATATATAAAAAATTGATGTATAATTAAAAATTACGGTCAGATTAAAAGTTGATTCATTTATATGTTCTTAAATATTAGGTGTAAGCTATGAGAAGTATGTAGTAGAAATAAGCTATGTGAAGTATTGAGTGTAATATAAGTGGTCATTGTGAAAAGGGCGGTTAGTAGAGGTTTTTATAGTGGATTTATGTTTGATGGGGATGATTCTATAAGTCTATTTCAATATGTAGGTGATAATACTATTCTGCTTTGTGAAAAAAATTGGTGAAATATTTGGAAAATAAAATTAATTTTTAAGAGGTTTTGAAATTGTATCGGGTTTGAGGATAAATTTTCTGAAGAGTTGTTTGTTTGGAGTTAGGGTTGAGGAAGGATTTATGTATGCAGTTGCAATTTTTTTATCCTGTAAAATTAGTGTTTTACCGTTCAAATTTTTAGGAATGATGGTTGCTGGAAATCATAGGAGAGTTAATTTCTAGAAATCGATTGTAGATTGTTTCAGGGCAAGGTTGTCCACTTGAAAAGGCAAATTATTATTGATTGGAGGGAGGGTAACCTTAATAAACTCAGTGCTAACAAACTTACCAATTTATCATTTGTCGTTCTTCAAAGCGCTTGCCTTAGTTATCAAAGAATTGGTTTCTATTTAAATATAGTTTCTATGGTGTGGTTCGTTGGAATCCTTTTCAATTAATTGGGCCAGCTGGTCTTCAACATGCAAACCAAAGGAAGATTAAGGATTGGGAATTAAAGACATTGTTGTGTTTAATAAGGCATTGCTATCTAAATGGTTATGGAGACTTATCCATAATGACGACACAATTTGGAAACCCCTAATGATGTTGAAGTATGGAGGTTTTGGAAAAAGAATTTTGTTGATGCAAGAAAGTAACAGTTGCAGGTTATACTCGTTATGGTGGAAGGACTTGTTGAAGCTTGGAGATTCAATGAAAGAGGTCCCCTTTTCAATGTAGCTGGCGAGTAAACTGGATGATGGTTCATTGATCTCGTTTTAGAATGCGCGATGGATTGACTCAGTTGCTCTGCGCTGCAGGTTTAAGGAACTATATGAACTTTCAGACTGTAAATTCAAATTTGTTAATGAGATGGAAGTTTGGGAAGATTATGGCTGGAAATGGATGTCGGGTTTTCAGGAAGAGCGGCTTGTAAGGGAATTGGAGTACCAGCTGATAGAAATGCATCAGTTGCTCTTGGAAGTTTCACCTAGACAGAGAGTGCAAGACTTGTTTCTTTGGTCGTGTCCACTGTTTAACCTATTTACGGTAATGTCTCAGGATGATTTTATTCAAAGGGCTAAGAGGTTAGATTCATTAGATATTTCCCTCAAGACAACTTTAGATTTTGTGTGGCAATCATTAGTTCCAATGAAGGTAAAGGTATTTGCTTGGAGACTTTTCTTGGATAGATTACCGACACACTCAAATTTGGCTGCCAAAGGGGTAATTTCTAATCCTCACGAAGTCGTTTGCGTATTCCGTTTTAAAATTGTAAAATGTTTGGATCATGTTTTCATTTTATGCCCCAAAATTCGTCTTGTGTGGAAGGCCATAGTGGAATGGTTTAGTGTGCCTTGGGCTGTGTTTGAGAACTGTGGTGATCATTTCTTGGGGTGGTATCTCAGGTTTATTAGAAACACGTCCAAGAAGACGACGTCTATCATATGGCTTTGCACTTGATAGTACATTTGGCGGCAAAGGAACCAAATAATTTTCAATGACGGTTTTGTTAACATCGAAGATTTAGTTCATGGAATCATTAATACTTCATGGTGGTGGTTAACAATTAGATCTAGTAATAGTTCTATATGTAATTGGTATGAATGGTTTAAACAACCAATGGATTTTATGTAAGAAAATCTTGGGGCTGGTTGATGCGTTTTGGTGTTTTGCAACTGTCATCAATTTGTAACTCTTGAGTGGAATACTAATTGTACACTCATACATCATCATGTAAATTGTATATATATAGATATCTTGCATGATAAACAAACTTCGACTACAACACGCATTATCTTCGACAACAGCATGCGAACATACTTCGACCTTATTCTTAATTTCCATCGATCCAGAAGCTACCCTTCGATCATACTAGAGTTCGATCCAACATCTCACAAATCTCCACCTTGGATCTAACTCAATAACATCAAGAAACTAGCTTTCTTCATGCAGCTTTATCAACTGCATACAGTGGAAAAACTTGCAACTAGGCAACGTCTTGGTGATCATATCAGCAACATTATGATCTGTCAAAACCTCCAGCACTTGGACTTCTCCACGCTCGATTACCCCTCTGATGAAATGCAGCCTCACATCAATGTGCTTGGTGTATTGCGCTTTGACTATCACATTTAACAGTGATAACTCGACCCTGAAGTTTCAGCTCCTTTGCAAAACCTTCAAGCCACAATGCTTCCTTCACAGCTCCGTTAGGGTAATATACTCTACTTTAGTGGTTGATAAGGCAACGACCTTCTGAAGTGTTGCTTTCCAACTGATTGTTGTCCCAAACATAGTGAAAACATATCCAGAAATAGATTTTCTGGTATCCATACAACCTGCATAATCAGAGTCGACATATCATTCGATTGTTGTTTTACTATCTTCACCCAAGGCTCCACCATAAATTAGGGCACTATTCAGAGACCCATTTATGTACCTTAGAATCCAATTCAATGCTTGCCAGTGAGCCTTTCCAGGGTTCGCCATGTACCTGTTTACAAGACTTACTGCATATGTTATGTCAGGCCTAGTACAGACCATAACATACATCAAATTACCCACTATATTAGCACATGGAATGCTATTCTTATAAGTTCTTTCAACATCAGTGTTGGGACACTAATTTATACTCAGCTTGAGTTAAGGGTTTGTCAGAGTCACAACAAGCTTTGAATTCGACATACCAAACTTTTGAGGACCTTCCGTAGGTATACCTCTTGATATAAGCATAATTTCGACTGCTTTCTATCTCTTCGGATGTCAATCCCAAGAATCCTGGACGCAGCTCCCAGATCCTTCACGTCAAACTCCTTATTGAGTTCAGACTTCACCCTCATTATATCTTCGACATTGTTGTTTGCTATTAGAATATCATCCACATATAGCAACAAAATAACAAATGAATTACTCGGTCAAAATCTGAAGTAAACACAGTGGTCGAACTGACTTTTGATAAAACTTATGCGTGTCATGAACTTGTCGAATCTCCTATTCCACTATCGAGGAGATTGTTTCAGTCCATATAAGGATCTATTCAACTTGCACACATAATCTTCCTTCCCTTTTTTGACATACCCTTCAGGTTGCCTCATCAAGATTGTTTCATCTAAATCACCATACAAGAACACAATCTTCACATCCATCTGTTCCAGTTCAAGGTCGAAATGTGCCACTGCGGCAAGCAACATTCGAACGGATCTATGCTTCACAATAGGAGAGAACACATCATTGAAGTCGACACCTTCTTTCTGAGTGAACCCCCTAGCAACCAATCTTGCCTTGTATCTCTTTGACGCCACTCCTTCGATTCCTTCCTTAACTTTGAAAATCCATTTACAAATGACTAACCTAGCTCCAGTAGGTTTCTTGATTAGTTACCAGGTGTCATACCCTAAATTTGCCCATACCTTTTTGTTAATCAAAGGCATTGGTACAAACCATCAGAGGATTGTCAAGAAATTTTAAGTTTTTTATTGGTGTGAGCATGAGGTAGGACCTTGTTGGGTACCTCAGAGGTCATGGTGGAGTTGGAATGATCATCCAATTCATCTGCACAACGCCCAGACAAAAAGGGTGAAATTAGGGTTTCAATTTTAATCAGGATAAATTTGTTTTTAAGGGAAAGATTTGTTTCCATATCCTTCCATGTGTCCTAAGGTGTGTGAGGATGGGAGGTTGACCATCAATTTTAATCAGAAGAGCTTCAATTGATCAGTCAATTGAAAATCAGGAGATTTGGGGAAAAAGTCAACTGTAGTTTGAATTTTGATTTAAATGGTGCTCCAATGGTGGGATCATGGTCCATGAAGTTCATATGGCTTAGTGAAGTCTACTCAAGAAGTTTCAAGGCCTCAGAAGACCCGGAATATCAATAGTCGACTCAGTAGTCATCGATCGATCGTTTTGTTGACCAAAAAGTCAACTCTTCAACCATAAGGAATTTGACCTCAAAGTGTGAAGAAAAAATGTTCATAATGCCATATTACACCTATCCATGAATTTTTATGACCATTGGATCAAGGATGGAGGGGTAATCGAGAAATCGGGAATTAGGGTTTTGAAAGGGGCAAGACTATAACTCCCTAACCACACATCTAATTGAGTTGGTTCAAGGCTCATTAGAAAGGTCTTGACAAGTCCTATAAAAGTCCCACAGTGGTCCATGAGCAGAAAATGCATAGATTTGGAGTTATGGCAAAAATCATTACAAGAGGGAAAAATAACTTATAAAAATTCTAAGTTAAGGGCCTTTTTAGGCATGTTTTTTAGCAACTTTGAGTGGATTTTTGACCTAGTTACACTTGGAATCAGAAGATCATGAAAACATTAAAGTTATAGAGCTTCATGAGGGATTTTTAAAATGTACTAGAACTCCTCCATAGAGTTGAGAGTTATGAATTCAGCAAGTTGGGGTTTCAACACTTGAGTCCACTATTTTCATTTTTTCACAAACTCACTCTTTAACCACTTGGGCTATTCTCAGCCATTTGATCATGTTTCTATCTGATAATTAGAGAGTATGATGAGTTGATATGCAGAAAATTGAGGGATTTGATATATTTGGTAAGTGGTATGCAAGTCGTCATTATTTTAATCAAACAAATGAAGAAAGAGAAACTTTATGGAAGAAATCTTGCAGCTGCAGTTCTCCTACTCCCTAGCCACACTTCAGTCACTTCAATGTCATCCTCACCACTTGATTTATGCCCCATCTTGGGCCAAGAACTTGGATTTGCAGCTGTCTACAATCTTGAACAAAATTGCATTTTACAAAACTCCCTCCAAAATGCCAAAAGACAAATCTGCCCCAAACCGTTCCTTGCCTATAAATAAAGGTTTCCTCTATGTTGAAAGGTACACCAGAGCATTCTAAAATCCAAGAGAAAACCATAGCTCTCATCTTGCATTGCTTTGCTTATAAGTGAAGAAAACCATTCCAAAAATACCTCAAAATCTGCCTTGAGCACAAAGCCTTCCAAAACCATTTTCACCCACTCAAACTCATCACAAACCATCCACAAAATCCACAAATGATGTGTGGGAGGTGTTCAAACTCTTAAACCAGTCAAAACCCTCATTTTCCCAAAAGTCAACTTTCAACCAAGCAAAGTTTGACTTCACATAGAAAATCTGCCAAATCTCTGTTCAGGACTGTTTTGATCATTTTAAACTTCCAAACACCTTAGTTTTATGATGTACCAACTGTCCATAACCTAAAAAACTATCATCATCACTTGTTTCAAGTTCTGGGCCAAGATTCACTTGTTTACTTCAAGTGTAAGAAAGGCTGCATTTTCACCAAGGCATTGGTTGGAGCACATTTGGGGAGTCTTCAAGGTTTTCCCTTCCATATTATCTTGCTTGGAAGTCTATAAGAGGTTGGTAGTTACTATCCTTTTTTTTTAAATGTCATGAACATGATTAGTGTACATTAGTTGTTACAATGTGTTTTAAAGGCAATGTGCAGTCATGTTTGAGTCTGCCTTACTTTGTTTATTTTGCTCATCAATGTGTATCACAGTTATAATCATCATATCATGTTCTGCTACCATTCTGTTCTTGCATTTTCAAAATCATGTGCATTTTTCAACTCATAGGTCATTTTCCATTCTAGCTTATTTTTGGATCTTCTTTGTGTTCAAACTTGGTCTATAACATATTTTGAGTATGCTTGTAAGCTATACAGTTCGGTAGGACTTGGTAAAGGTCATTGGGATGAGTCATGTAATTGTGAGGCCTGTTTTTGATTCATGAGAACCAATACCTATTTTTGTTGTCTTAATGTTTGTAACCATCATGCTATATGCCTTGAAATTCTAATGCTTGCCATTGTCATGATAAGTGAATATCTGTGATAGCTTGACCTATTGCTTGGTGTTTGGTTCATGTTTGTTAACATGAGATATGTGGTTTTCATGTGCATCTTGTTGGTGGATAAAGTGACTTTATCATTTATGCATGTGTTGCTGTCATCACTTAGGCATTATAGTTGGTTTGTGTTTGTAATACATGATTTGTTCATATCTGGTTTTGTTGTCATTTGTGATAGCCTATATGTATGTTATGTTGTTCTATGAATCATGTTTGCATTCTGTCTTGAATATTGCTTGTGAGCATCCTTGGTCCATAAGTTGAATGTTTGCATCAACATACCATGATTTTTTTGTTGTAACTCCAAACTGCCTTAGCCCTATTGATATGAGTTGCTAATTGTCATTGGCCTGAAGTTGTTAGGACTATCTGTTGAGTGTGTTAGCATTGTCATGTTAGAGCTCACCATCTTGCTGTTAGAACTGTCTAGGTCTTAACCACTGCCATGTTGCTTGCTTTATGTCCAATTTTGTCAAGTTTTGCTGTTGTGATTTGTTTGTAAATAGAACATGTTGTTTGATGCTAATAAACATGCTTGCATTTGTGGCTGCTAGAAATAGGTTTTTTTCTGTTAGAACTTGTTTGTA